GAAATCGTAGATGTGTGCCAATTTCTTAAGACCTCACTGCATCAACTACTATTTTTTGGAAATTTTTGAATAAATAATATATTATATTTTGTGCCTTAACCCCAAACATCTTAGCTCAAAAATTAAATCTTCAATTTTATATAGGAATTTAAAAATTTAAAAGTTAATTTTTAATCCCTATAAACGTGCTACATCTGGATTAAAATTTTAATTTTCATCTTTTAATCCCCAAATTAGAATTAATAAGTGTAATTTTTACTCCAAAAAAGTTTGCATTAAAAAATTCGCAAGCCTGATTATAAGATTTTTAAACAAAATTTTAACTTAGAGCGTTGAATAAGAAACCTTTAAACTCAAAACTAAAATAAAACAAAAAAATCAATAAATTCACCTGCACCCTTGCACCCGCATAACCCATCGAGATGAAAGTACGCAATTTATAAAATAAAATAAAACTAACACAAACACACAAAAGTATATATCAATAACTACAATAGCGGTCTGTGAATGCGTAATATATACATACATTATTATGTATTTCTGCTAGCTATATATATATATTAACTTTTTAACATAAAAAAAAGAAATAAATAAACAAAATATGCTAAGATGTGATACAAGCCGTTGCAAATCACGTGGCAATTAAGTTGTCCAATAATTAATTTATTTAATTAAATAAATATTAACTTTCTTAAAAACAAACGAGTAAGTATTTTCAGCAAATTTATTAATCAAACTTGTTTGGGAATGTTTGTGGATCATCTCTTACTTTTATATGCGCCTAAAAATGTATTTAAATAAAATTAAACACAACGATTACTCAAAAGAGTAATTAAATATCTAATAGCAATTAACGTTAACTATCAATTAAATAATAAGTACAGCTGTTATGCTTACAAAAACTATATAATATTTAACAGAAGTCGTAATGTTTTAACACTAATTGTTTACTAAACCTAACTAAAATTATTTGAGTATACAAAAACAAAAATTATTCTAAAATGAAGTTTCTAACACTGCCGATTTGCGCAACGCGTACATCCAAAGTTATTAGAAATACTTAAAATAAATAATTTAATAATGTAATAAAATATTATAACACAATATTTAAACAAAATAAGTATAAGTTGAAAAGAAAAAGACCAACCTGCTTGTTATCATTTTGATGGCGGACACGCACACATGCCAATGCGGTTATAACATGTTCTCCTGACGCTAATTATGCCTAGTATTGCAAGGATTGAATAATCTTGATAACAATGCTCCCGGAAACAGAAACTTGTATAACATCACATTTATATTTTTAAGAGCAAGAACCAGAGAAGGCAGTATGTACTGAGCAGGACCGCTATGTCATACATAATTATTCTATACCTACTAGGTGGCTTATTACTGTGAACACCACTTTCGAGCGATCGTTTAACTAATAACTCTCTCGAAAACCACAAAATATAACTTATTAGGGTTTATATATTTTTTCTTTAAAATCAGCCAAGGACTAATGACATTAAAAACCCTTAAATCGTTCATGATCAAAAAAAGTAAACTGTTCCAATTAATTAAAGATTACTAAATAAATTAGTAATAACAAAAAAAAAAAAGTGTTTTTGTATTTAAATTTCTTATTTATACTTCTTAAACATTTATTTGTACACAAATAACTCAAAGTCAGCAATTCAATTAAGGACTGCACTTAATAAAATACAAATCAAATACAAAAAATAAAAACTAAAATATTTTGGCTGAGTATACATACATATTTATGGATAAACTATATGCATTTGCATATTTAATAATTGTGAAGGCTCGCATTATAACATTTATAATAAAAATTTATAAAATAATTGAT